GCACTGGGACAACGTTTCCCCAGGTTGCTAGAACAAGCACTGGGACAGCTTTTCCCCCAGGTTGCTAGAACAAGCACTGGGACAACGTTTCCCTCAGGTTGCTGGAACACACACTGGGACAACGTTTCCCCCATGTTGCTAGAACACACACTGGGACAACGTTTCCCCCAGGTTGCTAGAACAAGCACTTGGAAAATTTTCCCCCAGGTTTCTAGATCAAGAATTGGGACAACAGCCCCCCCCCCCCCTTTCCCCCAGGGTTGCTAGAACAAGCACTGGGACAACGTTTCCCCCAGGTTGCTAGAATAAGCACTGGGATAACTTTTCCCCCAGGTTGCTAGAACAAGCGCTTGGACAACGTTTCCCCCAGGTTGCTAGAACAAGCACTGGGGGACAACGTTTCCCCAGGTTGCTAGAACAAGCCACTGGACTAACGTTTTCCCCAGGTTGCTAGAACCAAGTACTGGGACAACGTTTCCCCAGGTTGCTAGAACAAGCACTGGGACAACGTTTCCCAAGGTTGCTAGAACAAGCACTGTGACAACGTTTCCCCCATTTTGCCTCGAACATGCACTGGCGACAACGTTTCCCCCCAGGATTTGCTAGTAAAGCACTGGGGACAACGTTTTCCCAGGGTTGCTGGAACGAGCACTGGGACAACGTTTTCCCCCAGGTTGCTTAGGAACAAGCACTGGGGACTAGTTTCCCCCAGGTTGGCTAGAAACAAGCACTGGGACAAACGTTTCCCAACCAGGTTACTAGAACAAGCATGGACAACGGTTTCCCCAGTTGCTAGAACAAGCCACTGGACAACGTTTCCATCCAGGTTGCCTTAGAAACAAGCACATGCGGACAACGTTTTCCTCCAGGTTGACTAGAAAAAGCACTGGGACAAGTTTCTCCCCCAGGTTGCTAGAAACAAGCACTGGGACAACACGTTTCCCCCAGGTTGCTAGATCTCAAAGCACTGGGGACAACGTTTTCCCCCAGGTTGCTAGAACAAGCACATGGACAACGTTTTCCTCCAGGTTTGCTAGAACAAGCACTGGAGACAAACGCCCCCCCCCCCCCCCCCCCCCCCCCCCCAACCCCCCCCCCCCCTTTCCCCAGGTTCCTAGAACAAGCACTGGGACAACGTTTCCCCAAGTTGCTAGAACAAGCACTGGGACAACGTTTCCCCCAGGTTGCTAGAACAAGCACTGGGACAACGTTTCCCCCAGGTTGCTAGAACAAGCACTGGGACAACGTTTCCCCCAGGTTGCTAGAACAAGCACTGGGACAACGTTTCCCCCAGGTTGCTAGAACAAGCACTGGGACAACGTTTCCCCCAGGTTGCTAGGAACAAGTACTGGGTAACTTGTCCCCCAGGTTGCTAACGAACTCAAGCACTGGGACAACGTTTCCCCCAGGTTGCTCGAAACAAGCACTGGGACAACGTTTCCCCCAGGTTGCCTAGGAACAAGCATGCGACTCAACCTTTCCCCCAGTTGCTAGAACAAGCACTGGGACAACTTTTCCCCCAGGTGCTAGACAAGCACTGGGACAAACGTTTCCCCAGATTGCTAATTAGAACAAGCACTGGGACAACTTTTCCCCCAGGTGTTGCTAGACAGCCACGGGGACAACGTTTTTCCCCAAGATTGCTAGAACAAGCATGCCCGAACAACGTTTCCCCCAGGTTCTCTAGAAAACAAAGCACTGTGACAACGTTTTCCCCCAGGTTGCTATGAACAAGCCACTGGCGTACAACGTTTCCCCCAGGTTGCTTAGAACAAGCACTGGGACACGTTTCCCCCAGGTTTGACTAGAACAAGCAACTTTGGACAACGTTTCCCCCAGGTTGCTAGAACAAGCATTGGACCAACGTTTCCCCAGGTTGCTTAGAACAAGCACTGGACAACGTTTACCCCAGGTTGCTAGAACAAGCACTGGGACAACGTTTCCCAGGTTGCTAGAACTCAAGCACTGGGAAACGTATCCCCCATGTAGCTAGAAAAGCACTGGGACAACTTTTCACCAGGTTGCTAGAAAACAAGCCTGGGGACAAAACGTTTCCCCCAAGGTTGCTAGTACAACACTGAGACAATCTTTTCCCCAGGTTGATAGATACAAGCACTGGGACACGTTGCCCCCTGGTTGCTAGAACAACACTGGGACAACGTTTTCCCCAGGTTGCTAGAACAAGGCACTTTTGACAACGTTCCCCCAGTTGCTAGAACAAGCACTGGGACAACGTTTCCCCAGGTGCTAGAACAAAGCACTGGTGGGACAACGTTTCCCCAAGGAGTCGCTAGGAACAGTGCAATGGGACTACGTTTCCCCCAGGTTGCTAAGAACAAGCACTGGGACAACGGTTTCCCACCAGGTTGCTGAACAAGCACTGGGACAACGTTTCCCCAGGTTTGCTTAGAACAAGCAATGGGACAACGTTTCCCCCCATGTTGCTAGAAACAAGCACTGGGACAACTTTTCCCCACGTTGCTAGAACAAGACAGGGATAACGTTTCCCCCAGGTTTCTAGAACACACTATGAGACACTTTTCACCCAGGTTTGCTAGAAAAAAGCACTGGGACAAGTTTCCCCCAGGTTGCTAGAACAAAGCCACTGGGTCAACGTTTTCCCCATGGTTG